AAATTAGTAAAAATGTTGGGGAAGATTTCAGCGTTTTGACGATAAAGAATACTTAAAGTAATATTAATTGTTTGTAAATCTAAGATAAAAATAAATTTATATAGATGAAAAATCTTTCTATGTATTATGTTTCGTTACTTCTCCCCAAGGATAACACATTTTTTTTCTTGACGTAAACAAATATTGTGCGCAAATCATTTATTATATTTTGAAAGCATCGAGGTTATAATGCAGCAAAATATTGCCATTATGTTCTTAGTCTTTTTACTATGGGCTTCTGCGACTATGTGTACTGCGGATACTTCACTCACATCTCAACAACAAGCACATATGCGCCAACTAGCATTACAAATATTTCCATCGAGTGTCGTCGACAATTGGCATATGGATAATCCGGGACTTGCAAACATGATTATTGCTGCAGTAAAATCACTGACACGTTGCGATCACGCAATGAAAAAGGTACACAAGTTAATGAATGATTTAACATTCAGTACATTATCGAAATATGTTAAACCTATAGTCAAACATTTGATGGCAATGAAAGAAGCTGGCTCCGGCATGGCCTGCAGAAATAGCGTAGCAGCTAGATTTCGATCAGGTATCGAAATCGCGAATCTGTCTTTGGATTGATAATGCTATTGACGATTTTAAAAATGAACATTGAGTATTTCTGATTGAACTTATAATAAATTTAAATGATTTAATCTACTGCAAGCGCTACTCGATGCATCATTACAAGGAGACGTTACAACAACAATAAAAAAAGCAGGTTTTGTGATGGATATAGGAAAAATTCGAGATAATGTCTACTGAAGTTGATGCAAAATCAAGCCATTTTGTTTCTAGTGAAGAGTTGCAAGAACAGCGCTGTCTCATGAAATCGCTATAGTTCAGGATAGATGGTTTTCAGTATATACTTTTTAAACGGTCATAGTTTCAAATATTTCGTGGACTTGATAAGACTTCTAAGGCTATTTGGTGAGTAACGATTGAAAAGTGTGTTGAAGTATACAGCGAGAATATAGGCTATCTCGTCTAACCTCCTGTCAGTGACAGATATGACGAAGATAATAGGATCTGAATTCATATTACATGTTGTGATCGTCGAGACCATTTTCTGTTTTGCTGTTTCTTTTGCTGGATGAATTGTATGATATTTGTTAACTTTAACGTAGCCTTACTCTAGTATAAACAAAACAGGCAGCATGAAAAATTCTGGTAAACAATAAGTTCCTATTGCCTATCGAAGTTCTTTTTAGAGAAAGCTATTGATACTCCTTATCATTCTGGTGCACCGAACATGGTGCTATCTTTTTCAGATTCAAAGCTTTTCTAATTGATTGTAGCAATACTTTCGATGTAATTATGATATATTCTCTACGGCAGAACAAATAGGAAAGTTACATTTGTGAAAATGTCGATAAAACAGTTCAAGAATGCTATGAAACAGAAAAAATACAGATCCTTTGGATCAAGTCTGCTTGATTAACCTCTTATAATTCTATAGTAAAGTGATCGACCTTTTCTAGATCCGATGGAAATGAATTTCCTTAATGAATGGTTTCATTTGAGTTTTAAATAAAAAACAAGCACTACTACAATATCTTCCTTAACATTTCTGATGAGCGCTCAACTGATTGGGTGATATCTGGCCAATCTCGTTAACGTATATCTTAAAGTCCTCTGCATCTCTTTTTCTAACAATCGAAACCGCAGACTAGTAACGTTTTCTGTTCCCAACATACTCAAGAAATATCTGCGTTCATTCCAGTAGCCATTGTGCAGATAATTTAACGGAGAATCTTTTGATTCAAAAGTCAGCTCAGCTGAGTGTAGGAATAAAAAGAAAAGTTTTAAATAATAATACTATAATAATTTATGATATACCAGCAAGATAGCTCTTGGGGCCTTTCTGGAGAGATTATAGTACGTTTCGTTCATTGAGATGCCTTCGCTTTCTTGTTTGAACTCGATTTGGCTTTTTCAGCTTATTCTTAAAATTATGCTAGGTAACTTTTGATCGTGTTCTCGCTCTTGGCTGTTTTAAAAGACATAGAAACATAAAAGTCTCTTTCGTTGTATTCAGTCGTGGCCAATGGCTTGCAAACAATCTATCGAAGTGACTTTGATTCCAGTTGAATCCACTCCTGCAATACTTTGCTACCTATTATGCAACAACATTATTGAAGAAGCAAAAGAACTCCGCAAAATAACAAGGGGGAGCGAACAATACCAAGAATAGTTGATCGGCCAAAGTAGCAAGCAGATGCTTCTTAAAAAGCAGCTGATAAGTAGACTTGGATAAACTTGTTACTGCCAAGTCGTTGATCCACTGTGTGTTTTTCATGTTTATTTCTTTCGTGAGCATTCAATAAAGGAAATACTTGTTTCAGCATTGTCATTGTTAGTGGATACAGTTGGGTAGCTGTTAAATTGTGTCTTAACAATGAGCTATATCTATAAATAGCAACCGTAGAACTTTTAAGTTTTTTGATCATTTGATTTGCTACAAACATTGATAAGCACGAAACAGAGACACGATGAAAGGAGTGATGAATTATCGTACGGGCTACAGCTAGCTGACGAACAGAGATTTACCGGTTACTTGTATGCGACATTCATTGATTATATGCAGAAATTAACTGGTTTTCAAAGCAAATGATAGCAAAATCGTATTCAAAATCGCTCCATCTTGAAAATATTATATGATTGGCTGCAGTGGCCCAGCTGGAATCTCTTAATCTGTAGATAATTATTCACTTATGTATAAAAAATGGCGGTGAAATGAATACTTCCAAGTAAACTGATGAATGGCTTGTCGCTAGCATTGTCTTTTGAGTGTTTTATATTTTTCTATTTTGTATGAGAATTTTGTTTATTATTAGCGAGAACAGAAATACAAGCTATCTCAACATCATGCAAGAGCGATATATCCACCTTCACAGCAAATGTAGCTGTTGTGATCACGCCACTGCTGGCACCACGCACGAGCCATGAAGTTGGAATTGAGTCCCGCTCTTGAACATGTCTGCTCTTGATAGGCAACTAGGTCAATGCTGAATGATGATGATCGCCATGGACAAGCCTCACCCGAGAGACAAAATCGAGCTCGGCCTTTGTAACAGTAGATCTCTAGATTATCACCGCCCCCATTGATACCACCGTCATCAATACACTGATCTGGCACAACCGAAACCAGATCGAAACCAGTACAATTTAAGAGCTTCACATTTGTGGGTATGCACGTGCTGGCAGTTGATGATGGTTGCGATAAACTCACGAAAGCTATAAAATAAAAGCAAATCTGACTACATATTTAAAGGAAAACATTGTGTTGGTAACGATGTAAGAAAAAAAATCCATTTCGGATAGCGAAGGGAAACATATTTAAAGTCATAACGAGACCAGGAGAAACAAGATCGTCATGTTGTAGGCTCTAGCTCATACTTAAAAAATACCTAAGCAAGCTGGAACATATAGTTTAAATTGTGTCGCCGTTTCCTTACGCTGCTCACTTTCGGAGTATGGAACTCGAGTTGTGGATGATTGATTTGTTTGGTGCATATTCGATTGGTTTCCTGCACAAATAACTTTGCTGCATTCATTTATAACTTTAGTCTTTTCTAATATCAACTCCTTTTTCAATTGATTGATTTTGATTTTTTGATGAATGCAGACACCAATCAATACCCCCAATGTTACAATCCATATTAGAAGTGATACTAGAAATATTAAAAAGCGCTTGTCTTTGGCTGCCGATTCAGGCACTAATTTTGAGGATGGTGATGGTGCATGCAACGGTTTTGTGTGACAATCCACAGCAGCATTAACACCATTGATGTTAGCGTTTTCATTATTCATAATTTGGTTCACGTTGCTAACTAAGATGAATGAACTCCGAAGGACCTTAGTTATGAGTTACTATCACTTACCGATCATTGCATCTAATTGATCTTCTTCCTGAATGCGGATGCCTTGGTCCTTCAACGATGTCGTTAATAAAATACGTCGTTCAGATTCTTCCATTCCGTTTGACTGCATTCGTTCCTGTTATATTATACAAAAAGCAGATAGAAGAGAAGCTGATAGAAATCAGTAAGGTTCTGAGTTTGTAAAGCATTTGATAACTTCACTACACTGAATTCCTATAAAGCATTTATTAGGGAAATGAAATCTTGTACATAAATATATATTTTATGAAAAACTAGCATTATTTATGCTGTCTACTCAATGAATACGCAGAAATCAGTCTTGTACTGGTAAGTAATATATTTTGAAGCTAAAAATCGACTTGGTCGTGCAAATTAGTATAAATGTGTCGCAAAAAATACGTGTACTCTGTCAGCAAGTAAACAGAAAAAGAATGAATGAATCAGAAATTGAAACATAACGAGAAGTAAAAGGTACGATAATTGACGAAAAATACAAGCATAAAACATGCCGACGGTAAGAAAAAAACAAAAATGCTGAGTTTTTTTTCTGTTCTTCTTTTTTATTCATCGTAAAACAGTGCTTCCACGGTTAGCGGCGCAACGCGACGAAGAGTGTAAATATGGGTGTCAATAGTGGTTAAAATTAATGTGTGAACCTTTATTAAATGACCATGATCGTTTATGTGAACCACGTGTTAAACCAACATAAGAAAACAATATTATATTAAAAACTAAATAGGTTAAACAGCCCAATTTTTTGTATTTTTTTATGTTAATTTGTTATGCCTTTGATTGGTTAATTTTTGGAATTGAATCATGTAAACCTGCTTCTTGGTATCCATTATAGAACTTGTATTTATAAATGTTCATAGTGCTATCACAGAGAATATTTTCTCTTTTACACTTTCCAGTAGTGTCAAACCTGAAAGTTGAATTCAATTATTCATTTTTCGTCGTCTTCTCCCAAACTCCCTTCTCCGCACCCACACATGTTAAACAGGGAATAATTGAATAATTGAACTTCAAATATTCGAAAATAGAATAATTGAAGTAAATTTTCAATAATTGAATTCAATTTTCAGGTTTGATATGTATGGTCGAATAGTGATATTTGTTTTGAGATTCAAACTAATCTAACATTAGTATTGCTGGATGATTGCAGGTTAATTGGCTGAAATCGGAGGTCTCAAGAAAATACCTATAACTGTCGATGAAAACAAGCTAGTAGTGTGTACTATGTGTAGATCAAAAGAGAAAAATTTTCTCTATGGATCAGTTCTATTAGAAGTCTAAATCAGAAGAAAAACAGCTTCAGGATATCGTTATCGGAAATCTGCGCCAACAGCTCAGCTAATTGGAATATACTTCAATGATCCCGAAAGTTCTCTCTCAAATGGTGAAAACCGTAGGTTTCTGCAAACTCTATTCAAAAATTATTGGAGCATATTGAATTTTGAAATGAATAGTAGTATACAATCCGATGAGGTTGAACAGTAAATTTCAAAGGCGACAACACTTCATTTTTCGAGATACTCATTCATGATTAGAAGTCACCAAGGCAAATCATCAGTATCATATTCTCTAATTCTGATCTGAAATTTACTACATCGCTAGAATTATATGATATAAAACAAGTCGATTCTTTTTTATTGCTGAAAATCATTGCTTTTTTTAATGTTCGAATAAGAAAAAACTTCGATATTTAATTTAAAATGTTGAATCCTAGTCGAAGCAGTGTTCGTTTATATATGAAAAAAGTCGAAAATTCTCAGCCGTTGAAAATCGTTCGTTTTACGAGATATTGAGATAAGAAACCGGAACAATACTTGTTTTTATAATTTTTTAAAATATTAGTATAGCTATTTACTACGGAGCTGAACATCATTACACGAGCTAAATTCGTTCATATGAAACGTGCAAAAATTCTGACCTATGAAAATCTTTAGCTTTTAAGCATATAGTGAAAAGAACAAGGGAGACATTCTCAGATTTTGATTATAAATTGAAGTAAGTTACCAAATGCTACTGCTAGAATTTCATGCAATAGAACCGGAATGTAAGCTTTACTGCTGTCAAACCTTCTATTCGGCATATATTGGCACAAGAAACATGAAATATCACGATCTTTTTATTTTTAAGGGTGTGAGTTTTTGTGTGAATCTTTTCTTGAACACGCACGCCATACTCACAGTCATTGAACTTAAATTCCGATCAGGATACTTTAGCCAAATGAATAATGATGGTGATTGCCAAAAAGTTGCATTTTGTTTTGCAAACAGTTAATCAGTTTTGGAGGGTGTGGGTGTGGGTGTAGGTGTGGGTGTGTGGGTGTGGGTGTGGGTGTGTGTGGGTGTGGGTGTGTGGGTGTGAGTGTGGGTATGGGTGTGGGTGTGTGGGTGGGGGTGTGGGTGTACGTGTCGGTGTGATTATAGTTCTCACCCACCTCCGCCGACATCCACCCCCCCCCCCCCCCCCCCCCCTCCCCCCCCCCACCCCCACCCCCCCCCCCCCCCCCCCCCCCCCCCCCC